CTTTGGTGGATTTTTCCCCTCTCACAGCTGTGAAGGGAGGAAAATCGTGATCATATAACGATGATGGGTTGGGAGAATTGGAAGGAGTTGGAGGGATTGAAGGATAGAAAAAATGAATGGAGGAGGAGTCTGGCAAAAAGAGAGATGGAGGAATATGAGATTGGAATTGGAGAGAGAAGTTTCAAAGTTTAGGTTTGTGGAGGTAGAACAACTGTGGATGATACTGAGATCAATACTGAGACTTTACCTGTGGTGGTTTAGGTAGAGTGAAGGCAGTAATTATAGTAGTTAAAGAGGTTGATGAAGTGAAAGAATGGGTGGTTTGTGATGACATTGAGATAAATACATACATATATATATATATATTAATATTATATGTGTATATATATATATATATATATATATTTTTTTTTACTTGTGTGTAAGTAGAAGGATTCGGGTGACAGGTCAGGTAGGTACAAGTATATGTCAGAAAAAAGTTATTTTGCTTTTGTCTAAATTGTTTTCAGTTTCTTTTTAGTGCAAATAAAATGTTTAATTTTGGTTATTCAATTAATTGATTTGAAAGTCTTTTTTTTGGACTATATTAAATGAGCTACAATATTCTCTTGCTAAAAATGGATATTTGAGTGAACTAATTTTAGTATCTGTTCAGCAGGAAATAATTTTTTTTGGTGATCATTAAAATGCTACAAAAAGACTTGAAAATATTTTCAAATATTTAAAGAAAAGTTGTGTGTCTGTCATTGAATGCCTGGAATTTTGTACAGTGGTTAAGAGGAATATTAGTGGAAAGCTGAGAGCATTAAAAAAAAAAGCCATGATTAGTTTTTCTTGTTTCCAAGGATTCCTTTTGGAGTAGAAAATCATTCAGAGACTTACTTGATAAGATCCTCATAAATGGGGACCAGAGTAGAGGAGGATCACTACTTGTACAAATGGTAGAGGTACCTATTTATAGTCCTACTCTAAGTACTCTAAATGGTAGGCAACAGTGGCCAGTAAGTTTATCAGTAAGGAGCTGGCATGGGCTATTTTTGTCATCTGTTGTTTGGGGTGACATGTTTAAAAGGGTAGTGAGGAACGATCAAAAGAAAGGATGCATTTATCTAATTAAAGGTCTAGTTAGTCATCCAATCTGTAAAGGAGAATTTCTTAAACTGAAATCTGTGAACATTTAGAAAAAATTAAAAGCTATTTTATTGTGACTAGTTTCCTTTGTAATCCTGTATATTTTAACTTATGCATCTAATGACATTATTCTCAGAAAGGGGCCATGGGCTTTACCAGAGTATGTGGGGCAGGGGATGGTAGTGGTAATGATACAAAAGAAAATTAGGAATCCTCTTTCTTGAGCATAGGTGGCCAACTAAGACGGTATTAACAGGTTACAAGTTTTTTAGCAATGAATACTTCATTGCTAAGAGTTTGTGCAGATTTCTTAGGAGAGAGATGAAAGTACAGTGTAGCTATGAGTTAAGGAGAGATAGTATCCTAAAGAATGTGTTAACTGTTAATGTTATATTTATTTTTTCAAAGTTTTGTTGATTTTTTAAAAAATTGCTGTTACTTCTCAATAATGTCCTTTCCCACCTTCATTTAGAACAAGTAAGTACAGTTAAGCAAATCAAATAAACATATTGTCTATTTCTGACAATGTATTTTAATTTTTGGACCTATCATCCATTACCTCTCTCATGAGAGTTAGGGTATATGTCTACATATCTATAGATCTATATATCTATAGATCTATAGATATATAGATCTATAGATCTATAGATATATATATGTCATTACTCTGAAGTCAGTGACCTTATTTTCCTTTATATTATTTTCATAATCATGTTAGTTTTTCTTTTCATGCTGGATCAGTTCATGCAAGTCTTCTCAAATTTCTCTATTTTTTTTTCGTATTTGTCATCTAGTCTTATTTTTTTCTAAAGAGTTTAGAGTAGAAGGTTTTAGTCATCTATAATTTTCTGTAGAAAATGTTGATTCTTAGAAATCCAATGACTTTAAAGACACTAATGTCTATTAAAAGGGGGGAAAATAATTTGTTTCGAAGGGCCTACTCTTTCATTTTAACAAACTTAGAGATATTTAATGAGTATGTCAAGTTTTTAGCTAAAATGTGTGGGTAAGACATGATTTTGTAAGTTATCGGTTTAATGTTAGTAAAAAGCTTGCTTCACTGTTGTGGGGGAAAAAACAATCTTAGTTTGTGCAGATGTTTTATTGTGATAGGTCTATTATCCAGCTATTAGAAGATGAATGACTGATCTTTCCTATTTTCCATGCCTCCAGAAAATTGAAATAAGAAGGGGAATATCATTTGGGCTGTATGATTAGGGCAGGTGGGATGGCCATTAATTTAAGAGAAGAAAATCTTGGCAGCATTGGCCAACTTATACCATATTATCAATCAAACCTTGATGCACTTCTTGTGATGACCCAGCACTCTCAGGTTTTTGTAGCGTTAATTAGAATTCATGACAAAATAGATGCAAGGAAACGTTTTGTACCCTTCATAATTTTATAGAAAATTTATTGTTATTAGAGGAACCATTTGCTTAGTGTGATTTTTTTCATTACCGGCTTGTCAACTAGCATAGATAATCTAGAGAAAATATGAACTCCATAGATTGGGTGTCACTTTTGTTGATGGTTCATGTAGTTTACCTTGGAGCGCAGCTAATGGCTGAAGTTCATAGCAACAGCACAGAAAAACGTGGCAACCAGTGGAAGACGAATGAACCATGTTTATTGCTTTAATATAAAAAATACATAAATGGAAAGCTGCATTTGAATTTGATGAGCTCATTGCTAGTTTTGTTGCAGTGATTTATTTTCCCCCTTATACAAAAAAGCTACTATTGACACAGTGAGATGGAAATTAACTGACTGTATTTTAGAAACCAATATTTTTTGGTTTTAAAATCTGAGTGGATCATTTTGTTTTCATTCTGAATGTTTTATGGAATATTGAACATTTAATAAACTTCAATTATCAACTGTTTTGGTAGCATTTAGATATAGCCTCAAACTGTTAAGATAATAGTTAAGACAATAGTAAAATGAATACTGTTGAATGGTCAGTTGTAGCTTTTAAAATTATCTGTTTTTCTTTTTCTTTTTCAAATTAAATTTTAACAGTGACAATAAGTTCCTTCTTAGCTTTTGCTAATAGTGTTTTCTTAATTAAATTTTTTAAACTTTTATGGACTGTTTCTTAACCAGATCAAATTGAATATCATATGGTAGCTAGGTATGCATATTGTTTTACTTTTTACTCTTATGTAATATGAAAATAGATTAATTTTAGTTGAAGGTCAAGTTAAGATTACTCTTGGCTTTGCAATTCATTCCTTTATGTTTACTTATTTACTTAATGATCTTGTATTTAATCTGAAATTTAAGGATTCCTTTTAAGCTAATTATTATTTTTCTGTAAATTTACCTTCCCCAAATAATTCACTTTAACATATATTCTTATGAATCATTTTACAGATAGTATTTTACCGTTTCAGAAGAGCTCAGATTTTCCTGTCAGTACATACTGTAGACGGTGTTTAGTGATTTTCAAAGATCTTTAAAAGATACTAATTTTAATCTGTGGAAATTATGGATAGTTACCTAACTCTTAATTTCTGTTTTGAAGGAAGATTTAAAGTAGTAGATATCAAAAAGTAATGTTTAGATATAAACAACTTTCTACACAAACAGAAAATGGAAAATTATCATAAGCATAATACATTTTGATTTAGTTCTCACAAATAATCAATTCTTTGCTTTCTGGAATGACTTGCCTACATGCTGGGACCAGCAGGTACCAGTACATGGGCAGGGCTGGAGTCAATAAATGCGACTTCACGTTTATACTGATTGGTAATTCATAAAATCCCCACAGGACTTGAAACTTGTTTAGCATAATAGCAAGTACATATTCTGAGCTGTTTTCTTTCAATTGTATTGTTGGGTGCATATTAATAAACCAAATGTCAGCTAGATACAGGGAAAAACACTAAAAATATGAATATCATTGTATTTAATATTTTTCAAAAAGTGCCATTTCAGTAAATTGTATTTCTATTTAATTGCTTACTTTAAGTCATTGGGGAAATTTTAGAGGTTGAAATGAAGAATCCCCAGTGTTCAGAAAGAATGTGGCATTAATTTGCTACTACAAAGCTGTATCACATTGCTGGCTAACTGCATACATATCAGTGGTTCATATAGATATCTTATCATGTTAGGTATTCTACATGACATGGAACTTGACAGAGAAATATTAATTAAGCCAATTAGAAAAAAAACAGTAATTTAAAAAACACATCTAGAGTATTTCTGTTATGATGATAATTCACTTTGTAAAAGTCACATTTTTTGGCCAATATGCTATTTTGACTATTCACAGCATTAAGTTTTGATGAAATTTTGCTAACATTTCAAGCAGGCTTTTTTTTGTGAAGAAATTATCTACATGAAAAGTTATTTAAATGTATGATCAAGAGTTTCTATACCAAAATGGACCAGTATTCTTCTTAAGTTAACTGAATGACTGATATTTACCTCTCATTAAAACATGTTGAACCTCATTTAATGGTTTGATTTATTTCATTTGTATGGCATATTTGTTAATTGTGTATTTGAGGCTGTATTAACTTTAAAAAATAGGAAAGTTGGTTTATGTTTAATCCTAATTTAATCCAGGTATAAGCAGTTTAACTGAAACTTAGAAGCCTCCAGTGGAAGTTTTCAAGCTTTCTATCTTAGGAAAGTGTTATGTTGCCATCTATATCTGTATCTGTATCTATATAAAATTATATATTGAATAATAAAGATATTCCTTATGGCATTGAGTTTTCTGATTAGTGTTGTTTAAACATTGACAGTTTTTTTTACCTCTGTGACATTGAGTGTTGTAATGATAGCCCCAGTATCATTTTGCAGAATCATTGAGAAAAGTATATCTTATTGTGTTAATACTTTTTCTTTTCTAGCTGGTAGCTGGAAGTGTTGTGATGGCTTTTGAAGAAGTGTGCCCAGATAGAATAGACCTGATTCACAGAAACTACCGCAAGCTGTGTAATTTGCTAGTTGATGTTGAAGAGTGGGGGCAGGTTGTCATAATCCACATGCTAACCCGATATGCACGCACACAGTTTGTGAGTCCTTGGAAAGAGGTAAGTGTTAAACATATCTGTCAGCTTGTAAAATATCTCAGGAGGATGGTGATTGTTTAGTTTGAAAAAATATGTATCAAAAAATTAAGTCTACTGAAATATATCTAAACGAGAAGTCCCAGAAATTTTGTTGGCAGTTTAAAAAACTCATCTTTCATCTATTCATTAAAGTAATAATTTCACAGTATTTACAGTTTTAGTTTGGTGCCTCATGAAATGTCACTGTTAAGAGCAACACTGTGCATTATCTACAAAAACATTGCCAAACAGTAAATTTTAAGTTAATCATGATCTTGTTATTTCCAGGTCCCAACAGATCCAAACACTTGCTGCCAGTAGCACATATTATTATATTATTATTCTACCAAAAGTAACTTAAAGCTATGAAATTAATTTTTCTTTTATATCATTTTAAATAATATTATTGAATAATAATAGTTTTTATACAGTGCTTTAAGGTTTGCAAAATGCTTTCCATTAGTTACCTTGTTTGATTGAAACTTAGTTCTTCTGATATTAGTTTTTTTAATATCTTCATTCAGTTTTATAAAATTTATAGTTAGTGCTTTTGTTGGCATTACCTACCAAAAATGGATAACAATATGTGCTAATGATGATTAAATTATTTTACCTTTTTGCTGTGAAGATTAGTTAAAAAGCAATTTTTGTTTTATTGTTACATTGACAAGATACTTCATCCACTTTTGTTTTAAGACAGTTCTCAGTAGAAATAGACAACTTTTATATATGTTTTAATTACTTAAAAAAACTAAGTTAAAGTGATTTAAATGCTACTAAAGCAGCACATTGTTTCTCCTGCTTTATTTTAAAAAGCTCTGGTATAGTCTTAAAGTCAAGTCTGTCAGACAGTTTCTTTTAGCACAAATCTGTGAGTACAGTGGATGCTCAGTTACTTAATGCTAATTAATAGGTGTCTTATTAAAAGAGAGAAAAGGATAGACTGAAAATAGCTGAGATGAAATGTTGGTAGCATTTCTGAAACCATGGTTTCCCTCTAAGTTAGCTCCAGTTACCAAATTACATTAGCATGTAGCCTTATATTAAGTCACACAAAAGCTGAGATAATTTTTTTTTCTGTCTTCAAATTGAAAAATGTTTGTGATGCTGATTTTGTAGTTTTCAAAGTAAAAAGAAAATAGTAACGTTTTGAGTTGGCCACCAAGTGACGAGTTTCTTGGCTACAGCAACTCAAGAACTTTTCCTTTGAAGTTGAGTGGAAAGATCATCATTGGTGGAAGGTGTCTCTACGCTAATAAAATCACAAATCTTTTGATGTCTTGAAGTACAATTTAAACTCTGAGGTGACGTCTAGAACATTATTTGTTGAAAGCTAATTGTCAAAGTAATTTGCAGTGATCGAGACATTAATGCTTTCGATTAAGTGATTAATAAATAATAATAACTGATATTCACACCAATGAAATTGAAATGCTGATGAGTTTCTGTTGGAGAGTGAGATAAAATTTCATGTGCTACTATGCTGAAAATGTTTTATCAGGCCATTGATACATATAGCAGCTTAAAGAAAAAAACCCATTTTATAAATGTTTATAGGAAATGTATTTAGTACTGAAGTACTAAGTGTTTTAAGTTGAGTGTTCAGTGATAATTAATGGGGGAATGTATGTATATATGTGTGTGTGTGTGTGTGTGTGTGTGTGTGTATATATATATATATGTGTATATATATATATATATATATATATGAAATATATAAAATTTTGAATCTCTGTCTAGTTCCATGTGTAAAACTATAGTTACTACCTTGCATTAATTTACAATCGTTGTCTTCATTTAATGATACTTATTAACTGTCTTAAGTGCATGTTTCTGTGCAGTGCATTTTAAATTTGTCCAAAAGTAAATTACATTAGCATATGAAATAATTGCAATGTATTTCATTTATTTATTAGTTTACTCATTCATTTATTTAGTAAAGATCAAAAAAAGGGGAAATATTAAGAAAATCAGGGGAAGTTCAATTTCTTCATCATTCTGTCTTCTGAAAAATATTTTATATTTGCCTTTTTAAGGCAAACATTAAGCAGCCTTGTGGTATAATAGTAGGAAACCTGGATTTAGATGTTAAATTTTGGAGATCTGAATTCAAGTTTTGGCTTCACTCTTGACTAGATGCATGACTCTGGGAGAGTCACTTGATTTGCTCAGTTTTTTAATCTGTAAAGTAGGAATAATAATACTACTTTAGAGTGTTGTTGTGAGAAAAGTATTCTGTAAATGTGCATAAGAAACATGAGATGGGGTTATTAATCCAACAGTTAAGTATTGGAGAATTATAATAATAACTAATATCTAACATTTATATAGTGTTTGCTGCTTTCCAAGGCACTGTTAAGCATTTTATGATTTATCTCATTTGATCCTCTCAACAACCCATCAGTGTGGATGCTTTCATTTTACAGATGAGGAAACAGAAGAAAACAGAAGGTAAATCACTTGCCTAGGGTTACAATCAAGTCTTTCTGACTCCAGGCTTGGCTCTCTATTCAAATACTGAACTTCCTTATTATAAGCTTATGAAAACTTTGCACAATTTATAGGATTCTGAGGGTCCTACACTACCAAACTTCCATCCTCAAATGCTAAAGGAGTCACTGCAGAATATGTAGATGTATATATACAAACTCCATTAATGTAATCTGTTTCAAAGGCCTATAGTAGACTAGTGCTACATGGGCATAGATCATAAAATAGCCTTTATTGTAGATTCCCAGCTGGTTATTTTCCTTTTCATGCCTCTGATCATTTCTCTTCCGTTTGCTGTGCCTCAACCCTTAACAGCTCATTTTGTTTTCTATTCTTTGATCACCTACATATAAGGAAGGTGTTGACTTAGCAGAGACATTGATAGTCTAGTGAACTTCCTAGGACAGATTGGTCTTGTGTCCTAGGATTTGTATGTAGTTAATTTAGGTGATTGAAATAATTTTACTCATCACCATCTTATAGCTAGAGCTAGACTAAGCTGGGAGAAACTTAGACAACATCTAGGACTCATCTTTAGCTTTCAGGTTCTGCTTTTAATATTATAAAGGTGTTGTAGGTGGTAAGGCTGGCTTTATGCATGAGAGTACATTATAATAAGTCATTGTCTTGGGGAGGAGCCCTGCAGAGCTTTGTTTTCTACAAGTGCAGAGTGATATCCATTTATGACAACTCTGAAACAGGCATTTTCGTAGAGTCAGAAAAGTGAAAGGGGAAAGGTCTCTTAAGTTGCTGTTTTTTAAAAAATATATATTATTCGTGTGTGTGTGTATGTGTGTGCATACACACATACACACACACTGACCCCCAAAGTCTGTTATATGGGTAACTTGCATACTTAGCTAAATTAAGAAACAGTATAGCCCAAAAAAGGGCAAAATACATTTTTAAATGATAATTTCATGACGAGTTTACATTTTAAATATTAATTGAAATTTATTTTCTTTCAATCAGTAAGGCAATTTGCCTAAAAGTTGCATAAGAAAAATGAAAAGTTGAGTAAAAACAAAAGCTTACAACATTTATAAATGAGGAATGGAATTGTGAAAAAAAAAATCATCACACTTTGTATCTGTACATTAATCAGTTCTGAAAGCTCTTCTTTGTACATTATTTCGTGATCCTTATAGCCAGCTGCTGTCAATGAATTAGGAAGGGCTGGTGGTGTTATCTGATATGAAGAGGGAAAATAAGACTCAAGGAACTTGTGACTTGCCCAAGATTGCAAAGCCAGTAAGTGATAGGACAAGGACAGGTGCCCAGATCTTTTGACTTTTAGTTTGATGATCTTACCATTGCACCATTTGATGTATTTTCTCAAAGTATGTCTGTTACTTATGGAATGCATTTTTTTTCCTTTTTTAGATCCTAGTCAACCTTTGTTACTAAATATTTTTTGAAATATATCAGCTGTTTGCTTTTTGTTCTGCCTAAAATTAGATTGAATATTTAGTCATTGAAATCACTAAACTAATCTACTTTACAAAACAAAGTCATATTTTATATACTGAATTAGTTTAACATTGGTTTGTGTTTATGTGCTTGAAGGCAAAACTGGTTACTTTGGGAATTAAAAATTAGTAGAAATACTTTTTGAGATGAGCTGGTATGTATGCCTTTGTCAATAACTTCTTAAATGAACACATCATATACAACTAGGCATCTTAAACAGCAGAAGAGATTTTTAATTTAGTTTATTTGCATCATTATAGATCAGTATTTAGGCTGTTTATATGTAAATGTATGATTTGAGGAACAATTAAGTGTTGACAAAGTAGATTGCAGTCATATCAATTGCACTGCGTTTTCCATAATTTTTCTAACTGACATCTTTGATGATAAATGGTGGATGCCAAGTCAAAGCCGATTATACAGTGCACTAGGAATTCATGGCGCTGTCAGGGAGAAGACCGATTGACTTTAAATTTACATATTAATGAGAAGATTTGTTAAGAGGGTGCTTGACTATAGAAAATAACAGCATATTTATAGGGCACGACATTTTATAAATAAAGCTGATGCAGGAAAATGGAAATTAAACCTTTTAGGTTAATAAATTCAAGAGACTGCTAAAACGCATATTTGCATTTTTATTTTCTTAAATTTACCTTACTCTTCGGACAATATATGCAGTTTTTGTTTTTTTTATTCTGGGTCAAGTTTGAATAGTTGCCATGGTCTTAAAAATTCTTCAGTTAAATACCATTGCCTTTGTATGGCTTTAAGAGGGGAAAAGCAGTTTGAGACAGAAACTGAAATACCTAAGACAAAGCTTCTTTTTTTGTTGGTAGAATAAAGTAACCTTATAAATGAATGTCATAAAACAGTTGAATTTTAGAACTAGTGGCATTCATCATAGTTAAGCCCTGACTTTGGGGCTTGACAATTTTTTTTCTTGTGAATTTTGAACTTTTAAAAAATACCAGATAAAATATTTTTATATTATTACTAATGGTCTCAACTTATTAAGGATC